AGTATGAGATTCATAGAAATGCTTGCACAGAACAGCCACGCACCATATTGACTGGGGGAATTACTGGAAGCTGTCATCCAATTAAACAACTTTGTCAATTTCTACTTTTAGAAATATATATTACTATCCTATATATGTTGGTGAATGAGCTTCAAGCACCACTTAATATATCTGAGAAGTCTGAGATTTTGGTTTTTTTTAATAGTATTGTATTATTGTCAGCTAACTTAAGTACCAATTTTTGGAGGAAATGAGTGAATATAAATTTAACTCTTAGGGTAATCACTGCTTTTCAGACAAACCTGGATCATAGAGTTGAAAAACTGGGAGAGAGGAACCTAAATGATGGACGCCAAAATCACAACTCACATTTAACTGTTATATATACAGTTGTCATCCTAATATCTTGGTAACAAATTTCTGTTTCATTATTTTAGTTTTTAGCTTTTGTCTTGTAGCTAATTCCCCATTTAAAAGAAAAAGTTTAAGCTTTGGTGTAGTGCTCTGCCTTCCCCATTCCGATCCTCAGTACACAAATTTATGCCACTAGAAACTGTGAGGCCAGACCCACAACACATACCATTCAAATACATTTCCATTATGAGATGAATGTATAAAAGGCCATGTGCAACAGGGTTCCCGGGTTTGTACAGTTCTATCATTTTAGTGTTATCTTAAAAATGTGATTAATTATCCCATTCCTTTTGTGTTAGTCAAACCATACTTCAATCCTGATTTTTCCAACGATTTGCAAAAGATATTCCTGCAATTGTGATGATACATACAGTATACAGAACTGGATTTTGTGAAAACAAAATTTAATAAGCATATAACTTATGCCATGTCCACATTCAGATGAAATATTTACTTAAATTTTTCCACCACCTTCCTCTTCACTTTTAGCTTCCAGGTGGCTTTCTTAGTTGAGAGTTAAAATAAGTCAAACACAGAACCTCCCAGCATAAGGTTGAAGTGGCAGTTATTTGGCAGTCACAAACATATGTCCCATAGTCTTACCTTCATTTGCTGTGGAGATTTGTGTGTAGTGAATTCTATCAGGTTTTATTTGATGTGTGCATAGGCACGATCTGTGTGTATTTTGGTGTATGTGTCTTTTTCTCTTTTTATTACTGAAAAGCCTACACAATAATCTAAACTTCATCCAGGGGTTTTGACGGCAAGCAACATTGTTCAGTTTAATAGTTTTCCTTTGACAAAGGATTTTCTTCAGAATGTGTTAAGAGTGTTTGGGAAGGCTTTCTTGCAAGTATACCCCACACTGCATATATTGCAGTATTGGAGGTAAAGCTCTTAATGCCCTGAGCAATATTGTACATTGGTGAATAGGACAACAAATAGAAGTTAAGAGAAGCACATGTTTCATGTGTACATGCAGCACATCTGGCTAATTTTGGTTCACCAATTAAGTGGCTCGAAGCCTTGGCAGACAGTAGCACACAACTGGATCTGCAAGTCCATTTAATTTTCTACTACGTCTTGTGGTTTTCTTTGGCATAGTGGGAAATTAAAATGGCAACTATTTAGCACTAGTCAGAATATTCCTGCTGCTGTCATTGTCATGTTTCACCTGCAAGTGAGGCTGGATAGCTCAGTGGTTTAAGTGTCTGGCTGCTGAGCCAGAGGCTGGTGGTTCAATTCCCCACTGTGCCTCTTTGATAAAGGCTGGACTTGATAATCCATAGGGTACCTTCTGCAGTTTTAAGATCTTTGTAACCCCTATGACTGTTTGGTCCATCCCAGTGGGCATGGAAACCTTAGGAATGGCCTCTGGATCTAAATGTTGAGTTTAGAAAGAGAAAAGGAGGCCTGGAAAGGGCAGAGCTATTGTTCCACTTGAGTTTTGTATGGGTCCTTATCACATTGCTTTAGGTCCTAAAGTTTAAATATGTTTATGCTGAGGGGGCACTGGAACAGTGAATCCATGTAGAGATATTACTGTATATATTGCTGTCTGAATTGTATGTTATTTCAGGCCTTTAAAGATTGTATGCCTGGACCTGTTTTCTTTGTGCTGTGTATCTTCTGCCTTGGGTGAAGCAGCTTTTCCTCTGGCATAATGTCTCTGAATGTAAGTCAGGGATATATATTTTGTGGCATACAGTTCGGCTTGTGTTTCTGTTACTGGATTGCTGCTGTTTTTCAATTGAAATATATATATATTTGCATTGTCCATTTCACTGTGTTTGCAATACTTCTATAAAAAGATGGCCACATAGAACTTTTTCTTTTCCTTGATTATTCTTTGATTTTTCTATTTTGCTTCAAAGTTCTATTAAGTGACTACCACATGGTCCAGCTAGAGTCTTGCCCAGGTGGGAGATATTCTTCAGCGTTCATTCGTTTGGTAAGGTGTGTTGTTTTTTTCTCCATAGTTTTAGGGTAGCTTTTTCTAGTTTTACGTTCAGAGCTTGAGATGTGCACAAAAACGTTTTCTCAGTTTTAACCATCACTTAGGGCAGTGGTTCCCAAACTTGGGGAACTAAGTGTTCTTGGGCTGCAGCTCACAGAAACTCTGGCTGGCACAGCTGTGAAGTCTTCTGGGAATTGCATTCCAACAATACATGGGTTACCCAAAGTTGGGAACTACTGGTCAAGGGGGTTGATGCCCATGAAGTGAATGGATCTGGTGCTGTATTACTTTATTTCACTCATTATTTGTTTGCACTTCTTGACATACTTCTGGAGGGGCAATGCCAGCAAAATAATCTACTTTTTCAATGGGAATAGATTTCAGGTAGCCAGTAATAATACCGCATGATTCATTAAGAGCTACATCCTCTTGTCTGGCATGTGCTGATTTGTACCATACAACACTAGCATAGTCTACTATGGGGTAACACAGGGACAAAGCTGTTGTTGTTATTGTTTGTGCATGTGCACCCTGGACTGGCCCAGTCAGTTTCCTAAGTATGTTTTTTTCTGGTGGCAACTTTCTTTTTGGTGCTTACACAATGTTTTTTGTAGATCAGGGTTCAATTCAGAGTGGAGCCCGAATACATTGTTCTAAAATCTGCAGATGAGCAAAAAGACCCAACATTCCCTTTTAGGACCACAAACGATAATAATTTTTATTAGTATATGAGCATCTCTTCATCGACTCTTAGATTGGCTTTGCTGTGAATAGAAATATGACATCCTCTTTGTGCAAGAAGCTTAGAACATTTATTGCATAGTTGGTTGACAAGGAAGCAATATGATTTAATATGGCAGAGTGAAACCACACAGAGGGTCCCACACACCAGGGAATCACTCCCCCACAGTCCAACTGGAACTCTGGTTTCTTCCTGCTCGTCTAGCCACTCCAGGCAGTGGGAGGGAGACCAGTCTCCCTGCATGGCTGCTGAGTGGCCAGGGGCAGTGGGAGGGAGACCAGTCTCGCTGCATGGCTGCTGAGTGGCCAGGTGAGCGGGAAGAGAGCCAAGCTCTGGGAGCAATTGGAAGGATGAGCGCTGGAAGAGAGCCAAGCTCTGGGAGGAATTGGAAGGATGAGCGAGGCTGCCTTCGCTGCTGAAAACATGTGTGAATGTGCTGGCTGCAGGGGCCAGCCCCTAGTTAAATCTGGTTGCGCAGAGATATTCATATTTGTACACAAATACAAATACCCATATCTATAGCTGAAACTCACAGAAAATAGTTTGCTGCGTGGCACAAACTCCTTCTTTGATCAGCTCTTATCACCTTAATTAGATAAGCTCCTCTCAAAACAATAGGTTTGTAACTATAGGATGTAATGTGCAGTTTCTTTCTATCCGTATTGCTCCTACTGAGCTGGTGATACGTTATTCACGAAACGGTGTATTTTATGCAATGAATTTAAAATCTCACTTAACTTAGATGTCGTTCAAACCAATTTATGACGAATATTGTCTCAAAGAATAACATAGTATTCATTTTAATGCATCAGTCTTAGTCCTTTCAGAATGAGTCAGTACAGAGGAGATCCAGAACACCAGACACAAGAAGCATTAATTACATAAGGATATTCCAGATACACAAGCAAACCCTCATCAGGTGGAAATGTATGGGCTGCTATTTACATCTGCAAATTACTGTAATGCTTATCAGCCTAGTTTCTGACTTACAGCCAAGATGAAATTTCATGATTTATTGTGTTGAAATGTGCATGTTAGATGAACGTTTTCTCAAACAGACAAGAAAATCATGCGCACATCAAAGGGGTTTATCTGCCTTCCATCGATGCCTTCTAGAGTATAAAATTTTCCAAAGTACAGAGTTTCAAAGCCTGAGAGAAGTATGTGTTAGTCTGTACGACACAGCTCAGGGACATATCTGAGGTAGTGAAAGAGCTATATAATTCCCGATCCTGTTTGGCTAGCTGGCTAAGCTAAATATCTTTATGTATTCTGTATAATTCAGCCAATATAAGTGCTAGTTTTACCCCGTTAGCAGCTTATGCGGCTTTGAGGAAGTACAGTTAGGACCCCCATATCCACAGAGGATCAGTTCCAAGTCCACCGCAAATGCTGAAAAATATGAAACGATTTTAAAGGTGAGCCCAATAATATTGTGATTTCTGGTTTCTTCTAGTGGCCAGTTCTGGTAACTTCATCTTTAAAAATATGTATTTCTTTTAATAATTTTAACTGTTTCAGATCATAGATAAGTGAATCAGTGAATATTTAGCCTGCGGATAACATTCTCCTACTGTATGTTAAGATGCACTGCCTGAACCAGGAATGGAGAGCCTCAGTTGTGTATACTGAGTCTGAATTGTTCCAGAGTTTCCTGGAACAATTTTCATAGGTTGCACCCCTTCTCCCTTCAGTACATTATAGGAACAAACTGCTGTTGTATCTGATGGGAAATAAGAGGAAGGGTTTCTTTAGTGTTGTAGAAAGATAGCCATATTTAATGTTGTCTAAGGCTTATATCACCCCATGCAAAGTACTAGGAACTGACCGAAGAGAGAGAGAGAGAGAGAGAGACATCAAAGTAATTATAACTGTCTTCCCTTGCAGCAGAGGTGCTGAAAACAGACATGCCCTCCGTCAACAGACAGTAATTCGAGAGAAGGGCAGGAGGCTTGCCAACCGAGGTCCAGCATATATGTTTAACGACCATTTAACGAGCCTTTCTCTGGAAGAGGAGCGCTTTTTGGAAGCCGCTGAATACGGCAATATTCCTGTTATTCGCAAAATGCTGGAGGAATGTCCCTCGCTCAATGTGAATTGTGTGGACTACATGGGGCAAAACGCCTTGCAGCTGGCTGTAGCAAATGAACACCTGGAAATCACAGAACTTCTACTGAAGAAGGAAAACCTATCGCGTGTTGGGGATGCCCTGCTCCTGGCCATCAGTAAAGGTTACGTCCGAATAGTAGAAGCTATCTTGAATCACCCTGCCTTTGCAGAAGGCAAGAGGCTAGCCACCAGTCCCAGCCAATCGGAGCTTCAGCATGACGACTTCTATGCCTACGATGAGGATGGGACTCGCTTCTCTCATGACGTCACACCCATCATCTTAGCTGCTCACTGCCATGAGTATGAAATTGTACACACCCTGCTCAGGAAGGGTGCTCGGATTGAAAGGCCTCATGACTACTTCTGCAAATGCAGTGAGTGCAATCAGAAGCAAAAGCATGACTCTTTCAGCCATTCTAGGTCTAGGATCAATGCCTACAAAGGACTGGCAAGTCCTGCTTACCTTTCCTTGTCTAGTGAGGACCCAGTAATGACTGCCTTAGAACTCAGCAATGAGCTGGCAGTACTTGCTAACATTGAAAAAGAATTCAAGGTAAGATTTGTGTCTGGGAATAATGGTGAGTTGGTGTAACACACAATGCGGCGGGGTCAAACAAAAAAAAAACATCTAGTTCCATATTGTGCTTCCGACAGTTATATGTCTTGAATGGCAGCCTTTGAAGGTATCTTCCCCAGTATGTGGTGTTCTCTGATGTTATTCAGAACATAAGAGTTTTTCATTGAAATATCAGAATGCATTTCTAACAGTGCTGTCTTAGATAACCACAGGGGTAAAGATGCTGTTGCTCAGGCAGTCGTCGCCAAACTTGAAAAACGTCATAATGCTTCCAGGATACAGGGATTTTATGGGTTGCTTTGGGAGGTAGAGTCATCGTGCCCCCAGTGGCATATTACGTGAGGAAGCAGCACACACTTCCAGCTGTTCCTGGTTTAGAATCCTAAGAAGCAGGGACGCCAGAGCCAGGAGTAGAGTGTTTTCTCTCTTTAACGAACCTTCCTCCATTTATAGTATGTCATATCCTTGTTGCCCGGAAGTCAGTTCTGACTTACTGACTTACTTTTCTAGGTACAGAGTACGTGGAAGTGGTTTACTATTCCCTTCTTCAGAGACTGTGCAGTTTGCCCAAGGCCATACAGAACATGGCCGTTCTGCACAATGGGGAATTGAACTCGTAACCTCTGGCTTCACAGCCAGATATCTTAACTCACTGAGCTATCCAGCCAGCTGTAGTATCTTTACTCACCTCTAATTTATTTTCCTTCATAGAACGACTACAAAAAACTATCAATGCAGTGCAAGGACTTTGTGGTCGGACTTCTTGATTTGTGTAGAAACACAGAAGAAGTGGAAGCTATTCTAAATGGAGATGTGGAATTGAACCATGGGGAGCGTGGACGCCCTAGCCTGAGCCGCTTAAAACTTGCCATAAAGTATGAAGTGAAAAAAGTAAGGTCTGACTTCATTAAACATAGCTAATTGGGTGGAGAATACTTCCATTAATTATTCCCCATTTATTCAATATGGAGCATCTATTAGTAGATGCACTATCAGAAGGCAAGAATGACTTGGTGGGTGTTTTATATCCAACAATTCCTTCAGAGTGCATTTGCATCATCCTGCATGTGTACGCATTACAATAAGCTCTCTGAACATTTGTTTAAATCTATGGCCAAAATCCTGTTGGGCAGATTTCAGCTGTGCAACAAGAAGGATGTTGGCAGCAACAGATTGCTGCTAATTAAAGACTTCCTTTGTCAATATTAGAATGGATGGAATGCCCATTCAGTGTGTGTAAGTCATGCACATTTCAAAATCAAGAAGTCTTTAATCAGTGGAAATTTGCTGGTGACAATGAGATCCTTCCCATTGTGCGTGCGGAGATATGGAACAGGATTTTGGCTTTTATAGTGAGCCAAAAATAAGAGCTTTGTGTGAGATATCTTGATCAGGAAATGTTATTTAAAACAGAGTAGGGGTTCATAAGCACGTCTACAACTCTTTTCTCTGCTGTGTATTGGTTTAGTGGAAATTCATTTAATTTCATCCTCTGTTCCATGTTAGTAGGGGGTGGGCAGGGAATTTTAGGGCATACAATATAGGGACAGGGGAAGGGTCATGGTCATATGTTACACTCATTGATATTTACAAAGTGTTCTGAAAATACTAAATCTTCTATTTCTAATTAAAAGAAGCAGTTTTAATCTTTACACAATTTTTGAACAAGGGTAAATTTAAGAAAGGCAAAGCTACAGAGATCCTTTGAAGTATCTTATATAGAAATTCTATTTAACACTGCAATTCTATCCGTACCTATACAAAAGCAAATCCTTGTTATTCCCAGGAAAGGTGACAGCCGAAATATGGCTATTAGGACATCCTGAAGTGCGTCTTAAATTTTTAAGGTTTGTTCTGCAAGACACTGTGGTCTAATAAATATAGGGGGATAGTGAAAAGATTTGAAAAGTCCCAGCTATGTTTTTTAATCTTAGTCTGAATGTGGTAAAGAGAGTGAAATGTGCCATTTGCTCAACCCAACATGGCAGGTTTTAACGCTATTATTTCTAGCATGAATCTATTGCAGAAACTTGTTGGAAAGAACACTTTTTAAAGAATGAAACTGCTGAAAACGTATTTCAGTGTGTCTTCTGAACAAAGTCATCACAATTCCCTGCCCTATATTGTGTGCAGAGGTTACTTCTATCAATATCACTGTACTTCCTGTTGCACTTGCTGGGAGATCGTGGGATTTGGTTAAAAAAAAAACACAACATTTTTAAAGCTGAGTTGCTTTCTAATAGTGCAGTGGTTCCCAACCATGGGTCTCCAGAAATTCTTGGGTTACAACTCCTGGAAATCCTGGCCAGCATAGCTAGTGTTGAAGGCTTCTGGGAGTTTTAATCCAAGAACATCTGGGGAACCAAGGTTAGAAACCACTGCAATCGTGATGTGATGATTACCCTGATTGTTTGTGTTCTCATATTTTCTCCAGCAGGCTAAGAATATCTAACCGCGTGGCAGACTAGCAGTAACATTCTTTTCTCTTGTGCTCCTTTTCTTTTGTCATTTAGTTTGTAGCACATCCAAATTGCCAGCAGCAGCTCCTCTCTATCTGGTATGAGAATCTGTCAGGTTTACGACAACAAACCATGGCGGTGAAGTTTTTAGTAGTTCTTGCTGTCGCAGTTGGGCTCCCGTTCCTGTCACTGGCTTATTGGATTGCTCCTTGCAGTAAGGTATTAGTTGTCTGGGTGGAAGCCTACAGCAGCCTTTTTAATAGCATTTTTTTGTTGCTCTGTTTGCATGCATGCTTGAAAGTGGGCTAAAATGAAGCAGACAGACAAACAAGAAGGGCACTTAGCAGTGCTTTAGTGACAAGTTATTTGTTATAGCGGAGTCACTGCAAAATTCCACATCCTTTCCAAAAAACTGTAAAAAAAGCAGTCTCTGTAAAAAGCATCGTTGCTTTTTCAACTTATTCAACTGCATTTGCTTTTTTGTGTGTGTTTGTGATGATGTCAAGGAAGAAAACAAAAAAAAGTGGGAACCAAAATATATTTCTTTTATTTTTGTGTGTTTTACTACACATATACTGTACACTGATGATCAGTTTAGACCATAAGGCTGTCAAACTAGAACATTTTCATTTCATGGCATTAAAGAAGAGGCAACTTGATGCTAAGAGATTGCTTCAACATGACAAGTCTGCTTGGCCCGCAAAATATCAACAATTATGACAGAGCCATCACAGAACACAATGTTATACTAGTGCCATAGTATGTTTCATGAGCATTATAGAGTTTATATTTGGGATGCAGTTGTTGTTCTGGAGAGTAGATCTGTCCAATAAGATGCCCAAGAATCTTGTGACCTATTAAAATATGAACTGTTTCTTAACATGTAAAAGGCTAACTGCATATGTTACCCCTTCTATGTCCCATCCTTGAGAGCACTTTATTATGTGGAGACACAAGTGCTTTCTCAGCTGTAGCACCCTGACTGTGGAATGCTCTCCCTTTGGAGACTTGATTAGCATTGACTTTGGCATCATTTCAGCAGCAAGTCAAAACATACAGTACTAAGCCCCATTCCTGGTCTATCCACATGAAGCCCTAAAGAGCCATTGACATTGTGTAGGTAATATACTGAATAGCCATGGATTGAATGGTAATCAACATATGTTCTTCAATTAGTGTTTAGGATGCCAACATCACTCTGCTTCCTCTTTTCCCCTGCCTCCATGTGAACAGAGTGTTTCATGTGAATGTCCGATTGTGCAATGGCAATCTCTGCATAGCATTTCTTTTTCCTTCTTTCCATTCTCAGGAACTAGAGGCTGTTTTTGAGACACAGGGATCATGTATCCACCACATTTCTTTTTCATTTCACCTCTAGCTGTATACATAAATCAGCATTTTGCTTTTTTTTTTTTGAAACCTAAATAAAATGAATGATGCTACTTGCATTCTATCAGTAAACCTTCTCTTATTCTTCCTATGCCAGATAAAAACTGGTATTTTCTCCTGCCCCTAAATTCTAGGAGCAGTGAGATCAGCATCAGTTTTCCTATGGTTTCTTATAGTCTATATTAGCATTTTATGTTGTTCCTGCTCTTATCCCTCTTCTCTCCACATCTTATACATGGGAACAGATTATTTAATTTTCTGTTTGAGCCAAGGTATGATTTGTTCTGATGTCCAGACAAAAATACTGTGGTTTGACGATGTCCATCAAACTAGGATTGCAAATAATGGTTTGCATATGCAGCTTGTGGCCCAAGCAGAGGGGTGCCTCATTCCTTCATCCCTGCCCTTTGTCAGACTTTGGGTTGCCTCCCACAAGTGCTTTGATGCAATTTGCAGTGTTGACTGGGAGAGTGCAAGATCGTTTCCTCAAACTACAGTTAGTTGATTTGTATGTTACACAAAACTATAGCTTGATTCAGAGAGGAAACAAATAAATAAATTCAGAGAGGAAATTAAGTCCCCATCAGTTTTCCTATGGTTTCTTATAGTCTATATTAGCATTTTATGTTGTTCCTGCTCTTATCCCTCTTCTCTCCACATCTTATACATGGGAACAGATTATTTAATTTTCTGTTTGAGCCAAGGTATGATTAAATAAATTCAGAGAGGAAATTAAGTCCCAGGGATATAGAAGAAAGACGTAAAGGAAGGATGGGCATCGATGTATCATGTTTCCTCATTGTCCGCCAAACTACAGTTTGGATTATTACTTGAATGTAACCAATGTCTCTAGCTGCCTGGATAGCTCAATGGTTTAGGTACCTGGCTGTGGAGCCCGAGCTTGTTAGTTTGATTCCCCACCATGCCTCCTGTGAGTAGAATCAGCTGCACAGTCCCAGGGTGCCCCCAGAAGAAGGGAATGGCAGACAAGTTCTATGTATCCTCTGTCTAGGTAGGAGATCCTGGAAAAGGTCACCATAAGTGAAAATTGCCTTGGCAACTCCTCCTCTTTCTACCACCAATGTCTATATGGGGTTTTAAGTTTAAGCAAAATATCTTCAGCGTAAAAGTCCTGCTTGATCGGTTGAACCCAGGCCAGAGTTCTGTTCACACAACAACGAACCGAGTTTGATTCCCCACCATGCCTCCTGTAAGTAGAATCAGCTGCACAGTCCCAGGGTGACCCCAGAAGAAGGGAATGGCAGACAACTTATATGTATTCTCTGTCTAGGTAGGAGATCCTGGAAAAGGTCACCACAAGTGAAAATTGCCTTGGCGACTCCTCCTCCTTCCTACCACCAATGTTTTAATGGGGTTTTAAGTTTAAGCAAAATATCTTCAGCGTAAAAGTCCTGCTTGATCGGTTGAACCCAGGCCAGAGTTCTGTTCACACAACAACGAACCACGTGTCTTATGGGAACCCCACAAACAGAATATGGACACAGCTACATTCTCCCCACTTGTATTTCCTAGCAGCCGGTACCAAGAGGCTCACTGCTTCTGATAATAGTTATTGTCCATGAAGTTGTCTCATACCCCTTTAATGCTAGCAGCCACCTCTATATCATGGTAGACATTTCTATAGGTCACTAACCACTGTGTGAAAAAGTGCTTCCTTTAATCTGTCCTTGATTTCACACCTTTCACTCCATAAGATGATTTTGGGTTTGGGTACTACAAACAGATCGTGGCCACTGGTCCCATCTCATCCTGGCAAACGGGTTTGGGTACTACAAACAAAGAGGAGAAGGGGACGACAGAGGATGAGATGGTTGGACAGTGTCACCAAGGCTGCCAACATGAATTTGACACAACTTTGGGAGGCAGTGGAAGACAGGAGGGCCTGGCGTCACGAAGAGTCAGACACGACTTAACTACTAAACAACTACTACTACTACAAACAGCTTCTCCCTTTCCCCTTTGTCCACACCATGCCTAATTTTATATGCCTCTATCATATCTCTCATGCCTTACATCCCTTTAGAGTTGCTAAATATGAATGAATATGTTGATGTTAGCAGCTCATAGATTTCCTTACTTAGAAATCTTTAAACCAGTCTCCGAATCTGTAGCCAATTCAGGTTATTAATCACACACATCTTCTGTGTAGTTTTTATTAACCACAAATCCTCTCAAATAGAGGTGTATAAAATTAATCCCACCTCTCACAGTGCTTATGGAGGTACTTCTTCAGCCTTTCCTAAATGAACATTTGCTATAACTAAGGTCTAAAGCATTTGTAGAAAAGGCTGCAGTGTCTCTTTGAAATATGCCAGATGTTTAAATGAGAAATAAAGGTGCATGATTGAATTTCATTTTAAAATCTAGAATAATTTGTTTGGGGGCAGAGAAAATGAACTGACCCAAGGCCACAGTTCCAGGGTGTGTAGACTTCTCAACCAAAGCCATTTTCCCTGGTGAAAAATGGCATAATTGACTGCTATTTATTGTGGGGGGAAAATCCATCCCTTAGTTTTGCTTAACAGAACAAATGCCACTTCACCTTGAAGTGAAGGTGGTTGTGAATTTATACTGGGAAATCAATAGAGAGATGGGGGCTTAAACCGCCCGTCACATGGCATTACTCTCCCAGTCCAATTCATACCTACTCCACTTCACTGACTTTTATAATACAGTGGTGCCTCGCAAGACGATGTTAATTTGTTCCGCAAGAAACATTGTCTTGCGAAACGCTGTTCCCCATTGGAATGCATTTAAATCTATTTAATGCGTTCCAATGGGGAAAAATCGTTGTCTTGCGAAAATCATCCATAGAAAACATCGTCTTGTGAAGCGCCACAGCGATCGCAAAAACCAATCATCTTGCAAATTAATCGTCCCGCAAGGCAATTGTCTTGCGAGGCACCACTGTAAATCCAAATAAGATCATGACTATCCAGTGTTTAAATTACCGTTATATTCTTTAAATTGAAGTTGAGTCTACGAACACAAACAGAAGGTTTGTATGTGTTCTGTTCTACCCGTGGGTCTGGTATATTCTTATGATTTTCTGTTTATTATTTCCTTTGATTTCCATCTGTATGGTAACTCTGGTATCAGTCTCTCTGTATTCATCTTTTCATCTCATTTTTGTGTCCCCCCCCCCCAATACCGCTAAACTGATGCAGACTGAGTGGCTATCTTGTGATCGAGACTCTTATTTCTGAAAACTCATGTTACAATAAATGCGTCTTTGAGTCTTCAAGGTGCCATAGTACTCTTTCCATTGTTTTAAATTCTTTTCATTTCTCACCCATTTATTCTGATATTTACTTGGTTTCCTTTGATATTTCTTCTTTCCTATGTCTGTCTTCTCTCTTCCCCCACCCGTTGTGACTGTGTCTCCCAGTCTCCCCCTCAAATGTGAACACAGACAAATAATCAGTTTAAAAGAACACTGCCAAGGTATTTTGTTTATCATTTTCAAAGTGCCTTTTAATCACTGCTGTCTTTAACAGTCCCCTTGGAAACTTTTAAAAGGAACTTGTCGGTATCAACAAGATTTATTGTGCAAAGTGGTAATTACATGCCTGGAAAGTCTGACTGATAACTTTTCTTCAGAAGGTGGCAAAACTTCCAGGAAGCCTTCCAGGAAGTAATAAATCCTATCAAATTCAGTGGAACATATTTACTAATAATACCAAATACATTGCAAAATTGGCTGGAGAGTGTTCTAAGGGAATCACCAGAGACCTCTTTGCCCAGTATTTGGCATTTGTAACCTTGACAGTGTTCCTTTATCAATATTAAATTCAGGCATGTTTACTCTT